GCTCATGTCTATAGGCGACGGTTACCACTTTCCATCAGGTGGGCCGTCAGCTTGTTTGCCATTCTAAGTTTTATAAAAAAAAAAAAATATATAAATAATATGTAGTAGCTAAAATATACATAGATTAATCTAGTTGTTTTTACATGAAAATGTAGTAAAATTTGTTATAAACAAGAGGTACGTTACAGAACGGAAATGTTAGGCTTCTGCTTCATTGACCTCGGGCTGTTTTCGATTCCCAGCTCCATAGTGTTTGTGTTTAGTTTCAGCAATATCAAATGCTACGATGACGATACGTAATTATGATTATAAACTCTAGGAACAATAGTGCTGTAATTGAATAATTAGTATCAATAAATTTAGATTTTGTTACATACAGACGAAACGAGGCAAGGAATATCTCAACTTTTTGAAGTCTTTTTATATGAGAAAAAGGTAATATATTTTTACAGGTACAATTTTATTTATTATTATTTATTTCTTCTAATAAAAGATGTAATTCTTCTAAGAATTTTGGGAAATCACAGTTCAGTCCAGTTCAGTTTTAGTCGTCACATTTAAATAATATAAACATTTAATTTGATAATTCAATTATACTCGTGTAAAAAAATTATTATTCTAGAACCATTTATATGTAGTATATTATATGTCAAAATTTTTAGTCACATATTTATGATTATTAAGTAATCATATTTATATAAATTTAAATTAATACATTATTTATTTCGTTTATCAAATTTCAATTTTATATTCATTTAAATATTTCCTATTCCTACTATACATTTCAGTTATAAATAATATTTTTGCAGTTTACTAAATAAATATTATTTCCATTTATCCATAACACCAGTTTTAGCGGTCTATATTTAAACCTTTGAGCACGGTTCGTTGTAATATGCTTTACTATTTTGGATGTGTCCATCAAAAATGCTTAATTGACATATGACAGAATAGTGTTCTGGATCCTCTGGATATCAGGATAAATGACTTTTTATATTCATACTATGGTTACATAATCTCTCTTTTAAATATTAGGTTAATTTAAATAGTAATATTATTTGATATTGTACTAGTGGATTAAAATAAATAAAAATAATAATTTATTCGCATGATATGCAATCGTTCGAACAATTGTATTCTAATAAATAAAAAAAATATATACCTACATTTAAAACAAATTGTAATTTTTATCAAATATACTCTATTTCGTGTAATATGGAAAGAATATAATGTAATGAAATAAGTAGATATTTTATTATTTACATATAATCAAATATTATTGTATGTTTTAATGGCATAGAGGATAATTGTCACTTTAATTAGAGTTATTATAATGTAGGTATATATATTAAAAAAAAAAACTTTGGAGTTTTAATATTTCAGGAATTTTCTAACAGTGGAAAAATCTTATTTTTTGTTTTATATTGTTACTTCTATAAATATATTATTCATGTAATTATTGTTTTACTGTTTTATTAACAAAATAAAAAAAAACAGTAATTTTCAAGCTGCTTTTTTTGCAGTAATTAATAATTCAAATAATTCCTTAATTAAACTTGAGGTACTAAGTGTTACCAAACAAATCCCCCAAATTATAATTACTATTTCAAGGTCTTCATCTATAATGCAGCACCTGTATAAAGTCCAACTGTTTGTTGGTAAACTTTAACAAAGCAGGCGAAACTAGTGGGAACCGAGACCCAAAGAACCTGACCGCATGCACGCGCACATGGTCCGGGCAAACTATAAGAAACTTCACGTGTTTACTACAGACAAAGACGGGTTTAAGTTTGGAGGATGCATTATTCAGGTATTATACATTTTCAACCGACATCAAAAGAGGATATTGTTATTTCGATGTATTAGTGAATATTAAGCGATATCTCTGCAAATTCTAAACTGATTTTGATGTTCATGTCGTACAGTACGAGTATATTATTTAACGTAGTACTAACAGTTCTTTAAAACTAGGCGAACTACTTAGAATAGGCCACCTCTTACTTTCCCGTTAGTGTCATAAGAGGCCACTCAAGGAAGACGAGTGATGGGCAGCAGCGTCCCTGTAAAACATCTTCAAAGCCAAACTGCGGTTGCCAATCTGCCTACTAAGCGTGGCAACTACTGGCAAAAACCAAAAGGGGGAGGCTTATGTTCAGCAGTGGACAGTTAAGGGTTGGAATGATGATGATGATTCCTTAAAACTAGTGTTATTGTTTATTAATAGGGCCTTATTTATTTTTTTTTTGCTTATAAATCTACCATAACAACAGCATCTACTTCATATTTTGCTTAGAATTTTTTAAATATGTATATTTCAGTTCAAAATTGTTTTATTGACTGCTATAAGAATATTATTGCATTATTAACATAAGTTAGAAACATTGAAAATTGTTAAATTATTTTTGACAATTAACAGATTTTTGCGATGTTCCACACTTTGGTATGCTAAATTTATAACGCTCTTAATTTAGTATAAATATCTCAAATTATGTTGTCGTTTTGGAATTTTTGATTCACGAAATTTCTGTACCATGTGTAGTGTCACGTATTACTAACGACTTCAATTCCACTTTGTATACTAAACCAAATAAAGAGATACGTATTTAGTATAAGTAAGCACACGTAAAACTTAAGATTGGTATCACCTGTTCGGAGTTGCACAAAGCTGTGAGATCTAGAACTTGGAAGGAGAGGAGTGACCACATGCACACTCACAACATCCGAAGAACTTCCACGTATTTACGGTACACAAAGGCTGCGGGATTCAACTTTGTCTCAAGAGCTATCCTCTAATTAGAGAGTAGTTTTCTGTAAAGTTAAATGCGAGAATCTTTTAATATATCAGACTGAAATTCAAGAGTGCAAACTTTTTTATCCCACTATTATAGATATGAAAATTTTTTTTTTATGCTGTTGAACATATTTATAATAAAATATTATAGAAAGTCTAATATAATACCTTTTTTAACTTGTAAAATAATCATCGTCACTATTTTATTTATTAATACCTATATATTTAATATATTACATTATTACTATAGATGAGTATCGTAACGCCATCTATTATTTATATTTTATTTTTGTGTATAATTAAAAAAAAAAACATTTTACGTAATCTTAGCACCGTATATAAAAATTGCCAGTTTTCCTTAAGCTTGACTGACAAATAAAGCTATTTTATTGCCTCGTTTTATTGCGCAATATGATTTAAATTTTCGCCACATCGCCTACTTCCAATTTCTTTCAATTTTTTCTCTATGCGTGTTTTATTTATCTGTATTAGTACCTACAATACCTTCTGTATTAATTACATTTCCACATTTTTTTCAGTACCTTAGAAAGTTATGCCATCTAATTTTAAATTCTACTTTATCAACAGTCTTATGGACTATAAATATCTTGGATTAATCCAGGATATGGTTCATCGTTATATTAAAACTAATTTCAATCTGTTTAAGCGTGAAGATAGGTATGTACTGTATTACCAATACAATTTTATTATCTTATTATTTGTCTTCACATTAAGTCACTTATAAAATAGACAACGTATATAAATACAGTGTATCAAATCAAGTGTAAACAAATCATTTTACAATAAAAACATGAAGCGGAAAACGTCAAAAAAAATTTAGATGCACAAACATGGCACGTCTAGTTGTCAAGTAAAAATCCCTACACGAATTCATAATGTCATTTAGTCCCAAAACTAAGCAAAGCTTACACTATTGGCATAAGACAATAGATATAGTTAATATTGTAAGCTCAACATTGTTATTATTTTTAACCCATACCCATTTCTTTTTGGAAATTTGACGATAGGGAATTATTTTAAGAGGAAACATTTTATTTTGATTTCACTCAATATTATATGTTATTTGCTGATTATATTTATTGATTTTTATTTATTATTAAAGTATAAAGTTTATACATCTGAGTATTTTATCACATTCTTGATAAGTTTCCAAACCGACAATCCCTTATGAACAACGTTTCATAAAAATGTACTTACTTGCCTTAAAATAACAGAGGGAACACATTGCTATGGCAGTCTGCCAGGCGTTGTATACACAACTGCATTTTGTCTGGATGGCTCTTAAATTGTGCTTTTTATACGACTTATTGACAAAAATCTTTAAAAATGTAAGATTATTTCCGTTATGCAGGTTTCTTTTTTTATTTTTATTCCCAAACTAAACGGAGCTTATACTATGGATACTAGAAATACCTAAGTACATATTTTGTTAATATAATACTTACCTACATATCAAAATATAGTTTCAAAGTTAATTCGATATATTTTATTATTAAGCCGTTAATAAAATTAAGTCCTATTTTGATTAATGACCACCTATTTTAGTCAAACTATGTTTACATTATTTCTAAGATTTTGTTTTGGCTAAAACTTAGGTATATCTTTTTTATATTAATTGCTATTCATATCGAAAAGATATAATCGAATTTACGTCCATCCAATAAAGTTGCAAATTTCAACAACAATTAATGCGATCAATGTAAAATTCAGAACAGTTCGTTTCGAATATAGATATTCGAGTTACATTTAAAAAAAAAACGTTTTTAATTATAATTATGTAATTAACATTTTTTTCATCTAGAGAAATATCTATAAGCAAGTATATAAATAATTTATTCTCAATATATGGTAGATTATGACGACAAACTTCAGAGCAAAGCTATGGGATTTTATTTACCTTAGAATCCTTAGAATCCAGCAGAGGAGCATGCATTGATGGATATAGAAAGGAGAAAGTAGGATTCACCGACCGGGTTAACTTGCTGAGTAGTTGAAGACCTTGAGTGCACCCTATGGCTTTGACTCCTTTTCCACACACCAACACTGGTTAGATTCACAATTAGCATGTAAAAGGCACGCGAATTTCCATAGATTTTCTAGTCTTTTTTTTCACTTAGAGTATGAGCGACACAAGCTCAGGTACTAGCGACCGCCATAATGATATTTTTTGTTTTACATTCAAACACAGACGTCGCCGGTCGGCGCGAAAATTTTAATTGGAGTTGTTAATAAATTAATGGGAATATATTCATACGAATGGATAAAGGAATTAGGAAAGGATGTCGGAACAATATAAGAATGTAAATACTTGAAAAGTTCAACCTCACAATTCCTGGTTTTCGTTATGTGGTTATTTTTACTGATTATGGAACAAAGGGTGTATTTTCTGAGAAAAAATGTATATCTGAAGTCTTCCTAAATTCCTTTGATTGTATTTTCTTTTAGTTATTATAAGTGTATGGTTTTGTTTTTCTTTTTTTTTTACAATTTAGAATTGCAAACAAACTGACGGCGCACCTGATGGAAAGTGGTAACCGTCGCCTATAGACATGAGCAGTACCATGGACATAACAGAGTATACTGTTTCGTCCATGATACCCCCCATGCGTTACCATTCCTGAGGACTCAGGTGTTATGTACCCTCTGTACCCTGTAAATTCACTGCCATATCCCACCCTTCAAACCGAAACACAGCCATGCAAACACAACTGCTTTACGTCCCAATGATTGCAAGTTCTATATCTGTACAATACAAATATTAGTAAGCATAAATATATATTTATCTGTTAGTTTTTTATTGTATTAAAATCCTACACGTGAGAGGTTAATCTTCTAACTCAATTTTTACCTACTGGTAAGTATATTTTATGTCTCCGTCTAATACCTTTTTACCTTGTAAAATGCTAAGCATTAGCTATAATGATACGATATCTCTCAATCTGTTATCTGATATGTTCCGGTTTCAGACAAGCCGTCCCCAGGATATTCTTAAGCGTACCTACTTACATTAAGTGTTCTCAGATTCAACGCTTCTACGATTCCAAATGCAGTTTCTACCCAGTCGAGCACTCAAACGGATTCATTTCATATGGAATGAGCTTCACTTAGTATCCATTTACGCTTGTATAGTGTTTCATCGTTTCAGCCGTTAACTGTCCACTACTGAACATAAGCCTTTCCCACAAGGGGAGTTTTGCTAGTAGTTGCTTAGCAGGCGGGTTGGCAACCACAGTTCGGCTTTCAGAGATATTTTAAGAGGGATAGTGCTGCCCACCTCTCAACCCAATGGCGTAGCTATACCATTTGGGGCCTGTGGCAAATTCTTTTGATGGGGCCCTATCATTTATTTTCAAGTAAAATAAAATACTCAGGTACAAGGTAAAAAAAAAAAATTCTGAGCTCGCGGCCTCTTGAGCCGGAGCTTGGGCCTTTTTGGGTAGGGGGCCCGTGACATTTTGCCAGCCCTGCCACCCTATTGTTACGCCACTGTCTCAACCATTAAATTCCTTTAGTCACCTCTTACGATACCCACAGGAAAAATGGGTAGGCTATTCTATGTATGTATAATGTTTACAACCGCACAATTATTATTGTCAGCATTTTTCACTGCCACACATAACATTTTAATATCTGCTTCTGTCGATTAATTGATTATCTGTTTTTTGAATGTAAGTGACGATGGTACTATGGTCGCACCCCATCACAAGGAAGGATAATATTGCTAGTAATTAAGAAATTAATCCTCATTTTTTACAATACACAATGTCTAACAAGTCGAATGCCTTAACATTATGAAATATGTTTGTATATTTGTTACTCAATTATGTTTAAAGGGCTGAAAGGATTTAAATAAAATTTAGTACATGGGTATACAATATCCTAACATAATACATAAAATAATCACATGTTCATGCGGGCAAAGCCGTACAACACAGTTAGTTTTAACATGCTTTAATATTGCACACTTTTGTCTAGCCGTAATAATGCTATGAAATGTGAAACAATACTTACAACTCGTGCCGAGTGAGGATGGACTTGCAATTCGCTTCTACTGAGAAATGTATTAATTTAGTGTTAAAACTTTGAACGCTTCTCCAACAAGAGGGAGAGATGGTTATTGTACAGTTTGCCAATACAGATATCTACTTCTCTGCTTTAGTTTTGCTTGTAACTTCGTATATGTGGGTTTTCTATTGAGGTAACCATTTCTAGATATATCAAAATAAAACATACACCAGTATTTAATTTAGACCGATAGGAATATAATTGTGGAAATTGCATCCAATTTGATTCAGTGGTTTCTGTGTGACACTAGAATAAACATACAGGTAAAGATTATTAAATTATAGTTTTAGATTTTACTGTTTTTATTAGACTCATTAATTAAGTATTTTTTTCTTAAATATCTTCTATGTAGATAAAGACACCGTTTAGTTACAATTTTATTACTAGTAAGAAGACGTAATTAATGAATGATTATAAAATATAGAGAAGTTGCGAAGTTACCAGTGGGAGACTTTGTACAAAAGTCGTTAGCTTGCGCACCTCTGTTCCATTCGTGTTTCTACCGTGAAGCAAGTGTGTTTGCATGGCTATCTTTCGATTTGAAGGGTGGGATATAGCAGTGAATTTACAGAGTACAGAGGAATAACACCTGAGTCCTCAGGAATGACAACGCATGGGGTTTCATGGACGAAACTGTTATGTTCATGGTATTGCTCATGTCTATAGGCGATGGTTATCACTTTTTATCAGGTGGGCCGACAGCTTGTTTGCCATTTTAAGTTGCATAAAAAAATGTATGAAGTAAGTGTGTTTTGGTATTTGGTAATATGCAGAAATAAAAGTCATGTTTGAAAGAAAGTGTTATGTATGAAAGTGAATGTATATACGTATGGGAAGAGGATGACCGAAGAAAAGTTGGATGGACTGTGTTAATATGCATAAAAGAGAAATGAGCTCAAAAATGATAGTTAAAATAGATTTATAGAAAAGAAAAACTACACAGACTCCAAATAATTGGGAAAAGGCAAAGTAATGATGACGATGATGTAAACTTGTGAGATACAGAACTTTTTATCAACTGAATTATTTTATTTGTAATACTCGTATTTTGTTCCATTATATTTATTGTAAAACTAGCTTTTACCTACGACATCGTGCGCGTGATCGGTATAAGTTCATTGTCAAAATGAAAATAAGTCTATATTTTTTTTATACAACTTAGGATGGCAAACAAGCTGACGGCCCACCTGATGGAAAGTGGTAACCGTCACTTATAGACATGAGCAGTACCATGGACATAACAGAGTATACTGTTTCGCCCATGATACCCCCCATGCGTTGCCATTCCTGAGGACTCAGGTGTTATTCCTCTGTACCCAGTAAATTCAAGTCATATCCCACCCTTCAAACCGAAACATAGCCATGCAAATACAACTGCTTCGCGGTTGAAACACGAACGGGAATGGGATATATATCCTAATAATAAGGATATAGATATCCTTATTTTATTTATTTAATTATTCAAATAAAAAAATAGCAACAACGCTTTGCATAAAGAACAAATACTGCTCCTGATTCTTAAAAGATAAACCAATAGTTTAAACAAAAATACAGACGGATATCTGAGGCAGACGCAACTTTATGTCATGAATTTATGAATTCAGATACGAAAAACTGTGTTGTACGACTAAGGCTCGTAAAAATATTTTCTATCAGTTGGAAATGAAATATTTTACTGGAAACTTTGTAAGCTATTGTGTTGGTAAGCCATATCGAGTAAGTTAGTATACTGTACGTTTGTACTTAATAATATTGTATATGAAAGTGAGTTTGTTTGTTACCTCTTAGCGCTTTAACGACTTAATCAATCACTATTAAATTTTAGTATACAGGTACTATATAGGATGGAGAAAGACATAGGCTGTATTTTTATTCTTATTATTAACTATATCCTAGTCACGCGAAGTCTATATACATTAAATATAAAGAATGAAATAAAAAAGACAAAATTTTTTTGTTGGTCAACTATCAGTTGGATTATAAAAAATATTTTTGCATGAGATAGCTAATTTATTGAAAATAATTATAGTTTATTTAACATTACGATACGACCGCTGACAAAGCTGGAGGATACAGTCAGTTATAAATAAAAATAATTATATTTTACACTTGTATAAAGAGTGTTGCATGTGAATGCACCATTCGCAGCTTTCTCCTATAGTAAAAGGAGTATAAACTATTTATATTTCATATTTCAATTTACATCGTGGCAATAAATTGTGGCATTATGAAAAATAATGTCAAAACAAAGCTTAGGTCATATTATAAATCAGCTACATGTATTATTATTTTTATGTATATATTGTACATAGATCAATCATATATAGAAGGAGTGTCTCTCTATAAACGCTTCGCGAAAATCCACACAACTTTTTTGTGGTAATGAGATTGTATCATAACTACACAAATTTTACTCGGAAATTGAGACATAAAAATATTTTTATAGTTTATTTAACAATGCTCGAAATATTAAGAATTCGCTTCGTTAAAAAATGCTCGTCAACAAACATGAATTACTTTATAAATTAACCACATTTATAACTTTTTAACTGGAATTTCTGCATCGAGATAATATTAATGGATCAGTATAAAAATTTACTTATACTCCTTATTTCCAAATCTATATTTCATGAGGATTATTTGGGCCATTAAAGCGTCACCCTTCGTGAAAACAATCACAAGTTTTATATTCTTGTGTGAATTGATTCTTTAGTGTCTGTATAAATCTCACTAGAGGGAGAAAGTATATGAACATCGTCTGCTTGAGTACCGCTATCCCACTTGTGTTTCTGCCGTGAATCATCTGTTCTTGCAGGGCTGTAGGGTTTGAAGAGTAAAATATGGCAGTGAAATTACAGAAAACGGAGGCAAAATATCATTGTGCTCAGGAAAAGCAATGCATTAGGAGTTTCTGGTCATCACAGTGTATATTATCCATATCTATAGCCAATGGTTATCACTTGTCATCAGGTACGCTGTCAGTCATAAAACAATTAGAATACTAGAAACTAATAATTACTCGAGAGAACAAAAAGGCGTGATTTGCTTCGTATAAAAAATACTTATCAACTAACAGTGGGCTAAACTATTTTTGAGACGTTTTGCATATGATACTCCATCTAGACGTATGTGATCTGATACTATACATTACTGGCGACTTGCCAACTACCTCAGTATTACATTTTAGTAACTGAATTCGCGGCTTTGCTCACGTATATTAGGCCATAAAGTATCCTCTATATTGTTCCAGGATATGGTTCATCTATGCACCAAATTTTGTCCACATACCTCCGTGGCGTAGAGGTGGACACGTTTTTACATAAATGAAGAACTGGTCCGATTCTCGGTTGAATTAATTTTAGGAAGTAAACTTTTCTGAATTAGCTCATCACTGAGTAGTCTGGATTATATAAGGTTGTCAATCAGACGAAACATCCTTATAAGCTTCAAGTCTTATATCATACATATCTATATACATAATGTGTATGTGCATACACATATATATATATATATATATATATATATATATATATATATATATATATATATATATATATATATATATATATATATATATATATATACATTGTTAGATAATTAACATAATTACACTATTGTATGAGGTTATAATTGCTGTAAAAATAGTGATAAGTGTAGATATAAATAAATAAATAACTATTATGTCCTAACATATATTACATAAATTACACATATTATAATGACCATGTAATTTGACTATGTAATTTTTAGAATAGTACTATTAAATGAAACATTACAAAATATCAAATCTAAAAAACAATTTACTTTTGTTTTACACATGGAAAATATAGCTGTTGAAATACTTATACCTCCTATATTATATATCCTATCTTATATTATACATATTATATTCCATTATTTTATCCTACTAATATCAGAAATGTTAGTCTGTGAAGGTAATTTCGATGTTTATTACCCAATCACGCTTAAATAGCTAAAAATCTTTGATTGAAATTGGTATCCGAATGCGTTATATCTTAATAGATAGAATATTTTATATTGATTCACGTGAGTTTGTGTATATATTAGGATTGTAGATATCGAAACCATTTAGAGCATTCTGATATAGCATTTATATAATAAAGCAAGACCATTTATATTATATATATATATATAATTAGATTTCAACTAGTAATATATTCTTATACTTATTGCATCTGATGTATCTACGTTAGATATTTCTTATTTTAAATAAATAGATAAATCTATAATAAAAATATAAAGTTTTTAGTATCATCCAAATTCGAATTTAATGACTTTCGGGTTTACAAGCCGAGACAATATTGCATTGAATCATGACGGTGTATTTGAAACCAGCGAAAACATTATCTATTACTTCCTCTCATTACCAAACGCTCATGTTTTATTTACTTTGTCATCGTTTCAATTCGCTAAATGATTAATGAGCTTCGAATATTATTTATACCAACTCAAGTATCCGGATTCGCTGTTTATTTTCAAAGATAATTTGAAATCATTGCTAAAAATAAAACAGGATAGAAATTTTTATATCGTTTCTATTTATAAGCTTTGTTGTATAGAAAATTATGAAAGCAATATGTGTATGGTAATATTATAAAAATAATATGTTAACAGTATTATCTTAATTTCGTACTAGCTGTATACCGCGGCTCTACCCGCGTCATGAAGTATCTTATGTGCTAAGTTAGAATATACCCTCATGCATCAAATTTTATTGAAATTTATTTAGTAGTTTTTGCGTTAATGACTTATAAACATCCATTTATACATATATCTATGCATCCATTTATCCTTAAAAACTATCGCATTTATTTTAATGGGTAAAGATGAAATGGTAATCCCGCCTGCGTTATCAGTAAATGCTGACGGGGTACTTGTAAAAGATGAAAGGTGTAGATGAAAGCCGGTCAGTTAGCTCATCGTAACAAATCACTGATGCCTCGCTAGCGCATACCGACAACGCAGGCGGGGCACCAATGAGGGGTGGTACTGGTGGTAGTGGTACCGTTCCATTATCATCTCTTAAGAATGCCCACAGTATTAGTATACCTAATGCGTTGCAATTTGTAAGGATTAAGATATCATGTCTGCATACTATGTAATTGTACTGAATTATCTCATCTTTCAAACTGGCTTTGAATGAGCAATACCCAAAAGACTTAAGTGCATGTTTGCCAGCGAGTATAGATGGGTAATATCTGATATCTATATATTGACTTTTCAAGGACATTGATGACCACCCATTGCGATTTCGCTCATAATAGTCGGATATCTATATTCATTACGAGCGGATTCTTCTTTTCGATATTATATATTCAATAATCAATATCTAATATCTGTTATTGAGCCATTATCTGTATAGATATTGTAACTACAATATATAGATATTACTATATATTATTATTCACCCTTACCAGCGAGTCACAAAAGCACATCATATGTTCAATTAACACAGAGTTCTCACTACAGGCTTTACCCAATGTTTTTACACAGTATTTGTGTAATAAAATGAAATGAATTCATTCACATAAAGATCTTACATTGTTGCAAGTTAAAAAGTCGTCCAATTTTCAACTTCGCTGTGACATAAAATGTATAATATTCAAAAGGTGTAAAAGTAACGTAAACCTCCTTTAGTGTCAACGATAAAATTTAAAAAGTGAACAATGAAATACTATGCAAACAGGAATTATTGGCGATCCGTTTCGATTTTATGTAAAAATGATATAAACCCTGGTATTTTTTATATCGCTCGCTATATCAAAGACTGGATGTTGAATTTTTTTGGTGAACATGTATATATAAATCGTTAGTTCAAACATGAAACTTAAACGATTCGATAATTCTCACCACTCTTTTTGTAGAGCACAGAAAAGAAAAAAAATAATAATAAATGAATATATATATATGGGCGTGTCTATATGTATATTTGCATACACACATGCAATAAAAGGGGTTGAGATCTCAGCTTCCTTTTTCCCAAAGGATTTTGGGACGGGTTGTCTGAGAAAACCGGCAAATTAGTCGAGAATGAAATGTAATATAATAGAGTTATTTGAGTTTATCCGTTACAAATGATACTAATTATAAAGATTAACAATATGTACACAAACAAAATGAATAATATTAACATAAACTTAATTACACAAAAGTATAATAAATAGGCAACGGTAGGCGGATTTATCGCTAAACAGCAAACGCGCCTTGAAAAATGAGAACCTAGTTTTTACATACAGATGCACAGAGCACAGTGCTCTCTTATTTTACGAAATTTTTAACACCAAGCGTCACTAGCATATAATAATCATATGGGATCGATATTGGAGTAAATTTTATCGATTACAGGAATAATTATAACAATATCGATTCAGTTTTAATAAAGATATTCACATACTCGTACACATAAAATACGAGGTAAAAGTGGCTTAGAAAATAAGGATTCACAATTTAATATTTTGTAAAATATTAATAGAGTGGAAACCCCACAATTATTGATATACGATGGTGAGGTACCAATTAGTGATGATAAGTGAGACTTAAGTCAGGTTAGGTAGCCTATCGTGACAGAATTCATCAGGAATCAACCACGATGGTTTCCAGGAGACTGTGTCAGGCCACTAGGCCACCACTTGCGAGAATTGAATCGTAATTAGATAGCACCTAGTATTAATAATACTTATTAATAAATTTAAACTGAATTTGTTTGTTACCCCGTCATGCTTTAATGTTTCAACCAATCGTCACGTCGTATGTAGGTATTGTTTGGGATGAAGAAGAACATACGTTGTTTTTATTTCACTATCATATTCGATATTTTAATATATCCCGGTCACATGGACGAAGTAGTAAAAGCTATTTATTTTGTGTGACATATAATCCCTTTTTTCAACCGACTCCAAAAAGGAGGTTTTCAATTCGGTTGTACTTTTTTATGTTTGTTACTTCCTCAGTTGTAAACCGATTTTGGAAATTCCTTTCTTATCTGAAATGATATGTTTGCAGATTTAAAGCGTAGAAGTTTTATCAAAATCGGTTCAGTATTTAGTTTTTAAATCAAAATAACTGGTTTTGCCACAATGAAAGTCGGTTTTTTTTTGTGTAACACAATTTAATTATTTATTTTATTTATTTAACTCTTTATTGAACCAAAAATATACAAATAAATAATGACATATGAACTATTCAATTGAATATACAGTAGCATGAAGTACAGATTAAAATATACATATACATGTAAAGGCACAAAAGACGGTCTTATCGCTAGAGCAATCTCTTACAGACAACCTTTTTTATTTATTAATTATTTTATTTATTCATTAATTATTTCTTGATGCTCAATGTCATATTTAGCATGTGTACGTATTATTTGGCATAATGGTTTCCAAGTGTGGCATCTACTGGCAAAACTCTCCTTATGGTGAAGACTTATGTTCAGCAGTGGACATTAAGAGCTGGAATGATGTTTTTTTTCTTTCTTTATTCTTTATTGTACACAAAATATAATGTTAATCACAATGTTTTTTTTTTTATATATTTGGTGCTCAATGTTATATTTGGCATGTACACGTATTATTTGGCATAGAAAATGAAATATAGAATTTTATCTGGCTCAATCGTTAGTATATTAATGATTCCTATTAAACTCCTAAATAAATAAATTGTTAAATACCAAAACGAGATAATTAAACAACTGGTAAGCGGCGTTGTTTATAAAACAATACGTTTATTATTCTAATCTATTGGAAATATCGTTATCTGAGTTTAACTTAGAATTAATTATATTACAACGCTGTGTTTGTACCTAATAATAAGACGACGATACGTATACGGAAATATCGTTTTTGGTGTATTAAATGTAAGCATTTAATAATAATGAACGTATATAATATATAAAGGATACTAGTTTTTATTTGCGACTTCGTTCATGTGACCGCCATATATTGAATGACCAGAATAAAAAGTAGCAGTAGCTTCTCCATGCTATATAGCACGTATACACCAAAGTTTATAGTGAGGTGCTTTGAGGTAACAAACAAACTCACTTTCATATTTATAATACATACATAGTAAACTGTACATCTATATTTAAATTATAAAGGGGAAATATTTGGCTCTTTGTAATGGATGAACTAAAAAACTATTCAACCGATTTTGAAATTTCTTTTACTTATAGAAAACTCAACCGAGTTACACTGGCTATTTGCTCTAATCAAGTAAATAGAACTTTATTAATTCTATCTACTCTAACTATAGTTACTGATTGTGAGTTTTTTGATTAAAATTGTACGGATACTCTCATGTTGAAACCGACACGGTTTCAACTAACCTTCTACTGTTGTAAAAAAAATCTTCAATTTTACTGGTAGAACATTCTCTCAGGAGCATGCCAATAATTTTAGGAGTCCACAATTTCAATTGATAGTAACTAAGAATAAAGTTTTTTATATAATAAAATCTTTTTGCAATAA